AATGAGGACAAACCCCTTGGTTTTAAATTTTTCGATTCCGAAAAGCTCTTGAATACGGAGTTTTTACGAAAAGAAATGGTGAAAGATCGATTTTTAATGTAGTGATCTGGCTTATGGTTTAAGAACTCAAGACTCCTAAGTATTGAATCCGGAACCTCTCCTAAGATGATTCCTGTAAGCGTTTGTATTTATTTCTTTGCCAAAAGAATAAAGAATGAAGATCGTAAAGTAACAAGAAAACTCGATAGAGAAAGAGAAAAGATAATAGAAGTGAAATGACAACTCTATATAAATACTAAAGAAATTAAGATAATGTAATCACTAAAGATGAAATAATTGAAAACATGATGTCATCACATAACCGAAATGCTGAGCTAAACACAAGTCCATGACTACTTTGTCGCGTCCTGTAAAAGATCATCTAGAAAAGCGCATGACAACTCTAACCGTTTTCGTCGAAATCTTTATTCATCACATTACACGTCTGTTACACGGGTCTGACTTCAGCACCAAGAGATTTGGGTGGGTACCTGGGTTAGCTTTTGCAAGAAGAGAAGGGTCTGGGGATTGGTGAAAGGTGCAAGAGGGCGTTTGTGTGGTTCGTAGCGGCGCAAATTGCTTTTTGCTGTAAGAGTTTTGAATAGGTACAGCTTTGGCATGATCAAGAAGCATCTCATACCGGTCAACTTTTTTGGAAAGCAAAAAGATTGATAAAAATTTTGGTCGGTTAAGAGTGGCTTTGATATTGCTTTCTAGCCATCTCGAAAGCATTCCCAATTTTTTGAACTGCGACTGAATTGGGTTTAGAAACCGGTTGGTCGCTTTTTTGCCCAACCCCTATTTGTTATACTTGAACAATTGGTTTCCACTCATCGACGAATCAAATAAACGCTCAATGCTTAGTACTATGTATCTATTGCTGGAGTCTAAGGATAATCGAAATGGATTTGAACTTCAAGAAGACGGTGATTGGCAGCACAAGTAAGCTTAACATAAGCCCCTCTTCCGACGCGGCCACGTCCGCTCTCGAAGAGGGGCTTAGGGCATACACCCCGAGCTTGGCCTGAGACCAGCAGGAATTTCGAGCACTTTTGCTTGAAATCCCTTTGTGAGGGCTTTAAACATCGTAAAAGGTTGCATGAAATTCAGGAGTGCCTCTGCTGAGCCTTCTACACAAGCACGTGTCACTTCCAGCACCACTTCCCTTGAGTGAAGTCGCTCCAAGGAGCTCTTGTAAATGTGGGCCTCACTACGACTTAATATGTCAGACCCGCGTTGCAAGAAAATTTCATCTAATTCGAGTTTCAAAACTTTTGAGCATCCTAACATAAAATTAAGTACCCACAAATGCGCGCCTAATTGCGCATGGTGCGTGGCCGCCGCTCGGTCGCCCATCCCACGCAAAGCTGAGCTAGAAATGGTCTGCATGAAAATTTTTGATCATTAGGTTTCCAGTGAGAATCCGAAGAAATGCCTGAACAGGTGTGATCAATGAGTGTGCAAGCAATTTTTTAAAGTTGCAGTCATTTAACTTTATTTAGCCATTTCCCAACCTTTGATCATCCCCACACAAACTTTGATCATCTCAACACCAAAGCCTGGATAAACATGAAGCAAAGAGAGTGCAGTATTCAGTCTCGGCCTTACATAACCCGCATGACAGTCTCAATATGTCAAACTCTAGAGGACCACAAACCACGAATATATCCAAAGGAGTTTGTGCATGCTTTTTTGTCCGCAAACGACCCTGTGCTAAATGTGAAGCGTCGTCTTTGGGCAAACAAAGGATCAAAGTCAACATTGGACATTGTCCGCGA